TTTTATATGAAAAATATCCAAAGAGATGTACTGACCCATGCATATATGAAAATTATATTATAAATTATGATATTTGCGTATTTAGGAAACTTATACTAATTTTTCAATAAAATAAAAACATTTTTAAGATGTTGAACGCCCAGCGTGAACCGGTGGAGCTCACCACGGAGCTGAAATTTGAGACGTAGTGTATACAGTTCGATAAGCTGAGAGAGCGATAGGATTCAATGCATTTTTTAAATTTTTCGTTGTTTAGGTCTTTATTTAGACGAGAGTATTTAAAAATATAAGTTTGTGGTCCAAAGAATAAAGACGAGATATGTTATAAATAATAAGGGTCTCGAAGTGTGGCAGGCTATAGAGTTGAAAAAACATTTCTAGAGAATATCTCTATTAGATCTCTCATTGCATTTTACCAGAACCTTTGTTCAGTCCAGTAGTATTTTCCATATTTTTTTCGTAATGTCTTTATTTCATCTATCCTAAAATGTTTGTTATACAGCGCAAGAATGTAGATAAAAACGGGAAATTGAAAAGCATACTAACAAAAAAAATTTTATACCTGAGTTTCAAAAAAAGGATTATTTATATTTACTTAATTTCTGACGAATTATATTTCCTTTGATAAACATCCTACGATTTTGATGTCTATTTATAACTATCGCATTCAGCATTCCATTTTTATTGCTTGAATTTGCAAAAGTGCACTTTTTATCAGCTATTCCACACAGAGACCATACCTGTGAACTTTATTATATATGGTAATAATATTATAATAAATAAATTCTACAATTATCTTACTCTTAAAACTGTCCATTTGTCTCATATTCTCGAAACTTAGATTTTTGAAGGTTTCACTTCTAACACGTCTGATCTGCACACATGATTTTTTTTCATTTCTATTTTTAATTTTTTCAGTGCATCTAGCAATTTAATGTAAAAAAAATAACTATTTATACAAATTGCAACGTATATTAGAATATATATTTTTATATACCTTTTCACATATATATTGGAGAATATTAACAAATTGATTGATTCACGTTTGTAATGCGAGCTACGAAACGTTATATATTCGAGTAAATGTTTGGAAACTACGTTAATGGACCATAGGACTGAGAACAATCAAAATCCATGGTATAGGTGACAACTAGCTAAAAATGATCACCCATGATCAATATCGTGAAACATTAGCTATTAAATATATAATATATCAAAAATATTCTATATATATATATATATATATATAAAAAGAAAACTTGTATTTAATAAATTTGTTAATAAAAATAAAACACATCTTAGACGTTATAGAAAAATACATATTATTTAAAACAAATTACTTGGTTATGTTTATAAAATATATTTTTTCTCAAAGAAGAAAACATCAAGACTTATAAGATAATAATTTTGAAATTATTGTTAGCGTTAGTCCAGTAAAATAGACATTGAGATTTCATTTTAAAGAAAATCGAGATACCAACAGCGAACATATTCTTTCTCGAAGTTAATTTACTCGTTTAACAAGAATAAAACGAAGACAGTTGATTATTCTCTAACACGTTAGTTTCGAGCGAAGGCTTCTAAACAAATTCTCTCTCTCTCTCTCTCTCCCTCTTTCTCTCTTTCTCTCTATATAGTATAAGAGAATGTATTTTGCGTAGGAAGTTCTGGAAAAATGCCTGCGGCTTGCTTACCAGTAGTGCTTGGTTGAAGTTTGATGACCGGAGTGTTAGTACCCTGGCCCATTTTAGTCGAGGCCACGACCCAAGCTTCATAAGATTCGCGTAACTTCAGACCGGTCACCTCATGATGCAAGCTTTGTGCAGACATTGGATTCTTACTGATCTTTACTTCCTGGCCTTGATCCAAAACTCGAATAAAAACGGTGTATTTGGTGAGAACGCCGTTTGGTCTACGAGGTGGTAGCCAAGATATGACTACCGAATCTTCCCCACTGGATACAGCTTTTACACGTTCCGGTGCATCCGGAACTGTAATAATCACATGATCGTCGGCATATTGAATTCATTTTATGAACGATTACATCATATAATTTTAGTATAAATGAAATATGTTTAATAATTGCTTAATTAAGATAATAACATAGAGAAATATTATTTGACAGAGAAATAGAATTAAATCTCTTATTCCTGTAAGTTCTATATACTATATACGCATATAGGAATAGATAAATTAACTACTTCAAGAATAGTTTCTAGGTAAACTCTATCACAGTTTATTTTAGATTACACACTTGAAATAGTTAATAGGTCGAATAAGGAATATTTCCAAATGAATTAACTGATTCGTTCGATGAATATTAAGAAGAAGAAATGTAATAAAAACAAAAATCAATATTATTCGAATGAAAATAATATTTATATGAATTTATTATTATTATTATAATTATTAAAATTATTTCTAATGATTTACCAGTTTCCTCGGTAGTGCAAGAGACAGGACTGCTGCTGACACCTTCCCCAGCTCGTGTATATGCCAGGACCTGAACGGTGTAGTTCGTGTAAGGACTTAAACCATGCAATACTGTGCTAAGTGCATGACTGATTTTCGTTTCTCGACCAGTCTGTGATTCGGAGGCGATGCCGCTGGCTGCTTCGTACAGGAGCTTGTATCCTTGCACGACCCCGTGAACTTTGTCGGAAGGTGGTGGTTTCCAGGTCACCTGGATGTTCTGCCCGGTCAAAGCAGTGCAAGCCACGTTCTGCGGTGGCGCGCTTGGAACTGTGTCAAATCGTATATCGTAAATTTTGCTTCTGTACCTCTACGATCTTCTCCTACTCCTCCTCCTCCTCCACTAAACTCCTCTCTTAACTCCTCCTTCTTTTACATGAGTTATACTTATTTCTCCTGAACTCTTTTACATAAAAACGTATGTGTATATACATACATATGTATTCGTAAATCAATCGAATTTATATTCCACGAAATAATCTTTGATACAAAATTTACATAAGCTTTATCAAGAGAAAAAATGAAAAAGAAGAGAGATAGAAGAATATTGGAAAACCATGTTTTTCCTACTTTACTACTACTACGATTCTGTGAAAGTTTATTCAACATACTAGGTTGTTCAGTAAGTTTTGCGGTTCGATAAGAGAGGGCGTTGCTACTAGCCTACATTTTTTTTTGTTATGTTGGTACACTCTTCATATGAACGTATGTGAAGTTTCATTTCAATCTGTCAATTCATTCTTTGTTTACAAGATATTTAGTATCGACGTGTCACAGTATTTTTTTACAATGGAAAAAATCAAGTATCGTGCAGTAATTGAATTTTTATTTTTAGAAGGGTTAAAAGCAAAGGAAATTTATGAACGAATGTTGAAAGTGTATAAGGACTCTTCGTCTTCAATTAGTACAGTAGAAAGATGGGTTGCTGAATTTAAACGTGGTCGTACAAGCCTTGAAGACGATCCACGTCAAGGACGTCCAAAAACAGCAGCAACACCGGAAATCGTAGAAAAAATACAGGTTGTCGTATTGGAAAATCGTTGAATGACTGAAAAAGATTTAGTAGAAGCCCTAGGCATCTCATTGGTCAGTGTAAGCAATATTTTGACTGAAGTATTGGTTTTCAAAAAGCTGTGTGCAAAATGGGTGCCGCATTCGCTAACAATGGAACAAAAACACATTCGAATGCGACTTTCTCAGCAACATTTAGAGCGTTTTCGAAAGGATAAAGTGGATTTTATGTGTCGATTCATCACTATGGATGAGACTGGGGTCTATCACAATGATCCTGAATCAAAACAAGAGGCTAAAGAGTGGTGTGAACCTGGTTCTTCGGCTCCGAAACGAGTTGGTGTCCAGAAATCGGCCAAGAAGGTGTCAGCATCAGTTTTTTGGGATGCGAAAGGAATTTTCTTTGTGGATTACTTTCAAACTGGTAAAACAATAAATTCTAAATATTATTGTAACTTTTTAAACCAGCTGAAGGAAAAATTTTGTGAAAAAAGACCCGGTTTGCAGAAGAAAAAAATCCTTTTTCATCAGGGCAATGCATCGTGTCATAAGAGCATTTTTACAATGGCTAAAATCTATGAATTAAAGTTCGAATTGTTGGAGCATCCACCGTATTCACAAGATTTGGCCCCTAGCGACTTTCATCTGTTTCCAGACTTAAAAATAATCATGCGTGGAAAGTGTTTTTTATCAAATGATGAGGTCAAAACAGCTGTGGAAGCGTATTTTGCAGCCCTTCCAGATTCTCACTTCAAGGATGAAATCCATAAATTGGAATCTCGTTGGAAAAAGTGTATTGATGTTCAGGGAGACTATACTGAATAATAAAGTGTATTTCAAACCATAAAATTGTGTTTTTCTATCGAACTGCAAAACTTAATGAACAACCTAGTATATATATATAGTTTAGGCCAATGATAAAAACTCTTTTGGATCAAAGTCGAAGTTAGGCTGCAAATGACTGGTTAGAAAGCAAAAGCAATATCATACAGGGTAACTTTTACGCGTAAGATAATTTCCAACAATTAGAAATCTTTTAATGGTTATATATATATATATATATATATATATATATATAAATAGCTTAAAGGAAATAAATGAATTTGAGATCGAAATGAATCTACGAGAACAAGCTATCCAACGTACTACGTCTAAAGTAAGAATGTAACGCTCGTGGGCGTATCGTAGTAACGTCACCGGTAGTTGCAACTTTAATGGAATCCCATCTCTACCTTTACCGTACTTTCACCCCCTGTTGAGAACAACTGGAGAAGGAGAAGAGGAAGGGGGATGAAAGAAAGGGGAAGGAGGTCGTTCGAGAACTTTTACTAACGTTATGCGAATAGTTATTAATATAATCAAATCAGAAGGGAAATTGTACCGAAAATTCGAGCAGTCGATGGTAATTTAAAATTTACGAAAAGGAAGAAAGGAAAGAAAAAAAAATATTTTAGGATATTAGGGAGTAAAAAAGAAATGAGAAAACGAGAAAAAGATATAGGAAGTAAGTGGAAAAGAGGTTTTTTTAAGGGGTCGAGAGAAAGTAGAAAATTAACGTGTACTTGAAATGACCAACGAATATTTCCGAGGAATCCAAAGTTTTTATTCCGAGACACGTGGAAAACCGCGCATATAATTATCCGTTCTGTTAGAACAATATTCCGTAGTGGAGAAAGACAAACGACTGGAGTTAAACAGACCCATTTGCAAACCAGAGTTACTCTTTTTCTACTTCTTTCCGTGTAGGTTCTGTGTAAGTGCATGTATTTTTTTCCTCTCTCGAATACGAGCGTTAAGATTATCATTGATTCCTTTGCAAGTTTATCGTTCGGATAAAGTATCGTTTTATATAGGAAAAAAGACATTATCGGAAAAAGTAGATTCGCTTTCTTTGAATAGAGTAGAAATTTCTTTTGAAGCTATCTGAGTTGCTTCACTAAAGCTTTATCGAAATCAAATTGAAAAGAGATTTATAAAAATGAATATGTATACATGTGCGGGCGTCTGTGTGCGTGTGTTTGTATATATTATTAGTGAGATTTAATATCTGTAATAAAATTTGTTTTATACCAATGGAAACGTGTAATGTGACAAGTAAATAAAATAAAACAAAGATTGTTATACTAAATTTTTATATGACCCAAGATGATGCCATCATCTAAAGTTTAGATTCTAAACTATATCGAGATAGAACGAAGCGAAATGTGAACTTAAACATGGGGACAAAACGTTTCTCGTAATGTTTGATCCAAGAGACACCCTACTTGAAGCTTTTTCGTGGTTGGCTCATTCAGTTGATCGTTAGATGCTTGCTTACGGATTCTTGGGATTTACGATCTGATATGAGATCTTTCTTTTCTGGATTCCGTTGATTGCTATTATATTCCGTTATCGTTGATAATAAGATAGAATATCAATATTTTCCCGTAAAAATGATGAACCTTCGAACGATTTTAATTATTTAGATTTCAATATAATTTGATTAGGTAATACAAATCAATACATTGTAGTATTAATGATTAAATACTTCGTGTAATACGATCTACCGATAACAATAAATTTTATTCGGGAACTATCGACGAACGAGCTTCAAAGAGAAATATACGAAAATAGCCGACTAACGTGGAGCTTTATTTTCGAATCGATGGAAGTATATCAAAACGAAACATAAAATTACTCCTCCAGGGAAAGAGAAAAAATAACAAATATATATATATATATATATATATGTTGCTGAGAGATGATAAAAATGGAGATTTGATCAAATCCCTATGGTAGATGATCAATTCACGGAAAATATTAAAATAACAACTCTATGAGATGATTTAAAAAAAAAAAGGAATTATTAAATCCCTTAACTGTTTTAATGAAAAGATGAAATAATATTGTTTAGATATTAAAAGTATATATTTAATAAACCATGCGTTATTAAATGTAATTACTAATGTAAAGGTAATACAACAATAGTCATTAAAATACAAATTATTTATTCGGATCTAATTAACAAAAGAAATATATAATTAAGTTGATATTTTTAAAAACAAAGAGGATATTTTTAGTGAAATCTTAAACATATTTAGTGAATTTAATTAATAAATAATAGTCTTCATTCATTTTTATTAAAACATGTTGTTGGTTTGTGACTTCTTATAGAGCTGTGCGGGTTCTGATTTTTTTAATTTCATCTTGCCACTAAAACACTTCAAAGGATTTGATCAAATCATTTACTTTCTTCAAGGAAATTACCCCATAGAGTTTTTATTTTAACATCTTCCGTGAATTGATCATCTACTTTAGAGATTTGATCAAATCTTAATTTTCATTATTTCTTTGCGACATATATATATATACATATATAAAGAGAGAGAGAGAAGGAAAGAAAGAGGGAGAAGGAGAGGGAGAGGGAGAGGGAGAGGGAGGAAAGATTTGCTTTTGCTGGGTTTATTGTATATTTAATACCGTTGGTATTTTTATATTAATATTTCCTCTCTTTCAATACTTTTTTTTCTCATTCTCTCTCTCTCTTTTTTTCTCTCTTCGGTAACACGATTTTTATGAAAGATTCTACCGTAGTGAAGCTTTATGTTTCCCGGATTTATTAATTTTACGTAATATCTCTACGTATTGAATGAAATATCCAATCTCTTTTTATGGATTTTATAAAATTTTATACCATACATATATTTAAATATTAATTACGTAAGTAAATACATACATATATATATATATATATATATATATATATATATATATATATATACTAAGAAATAAATTTAACACACCATGAAACGTTTTGAATAAAATAACAAAGGAATAAGAAAACTGAAGAAAAAAAAATAAGTGTCTAGGATAATAAATTTAAGGTAGAAGTATTTACGAAGCAATAACCACATTAACTTGGATAACTTTCAGTAGTAATAACATAAACAAATATACGAATATATTTTAGCATTATTTTATCAAAATCTGTTAACTCGTGAAATAGCTAGCTAAATTCCGAAATAAAAATATTAATCCATTTAAATATGAAAAAGGGTATAATTATATATTTCAACTAATGGTATGAAGTATATGGATTTACAAAAGACGAGTAATAGTACGAGATTTTATTCCAGATATTACAAAAATATTCTTTGGTTTCGTTTCAATACCTGCCTTACTGTACTGTTGTAAATTCTGAGACGGAAGTTTTAAGGCTTATCTAATCTCAAGATAGAGTTTCTGTATTGATGGAAAGGATTAAAAGGAAAAAGATTTTTTTTGAAAACTATAAAAAAGGGAACAATGAGTGCTCGCAGATCTGTTCTTATTTCTTTCTATCCTTTGATAATAGATTTTATGTTATTCGTGCTATTATTATATCGACTTTGAACGTACCCATATTTTAACTATCTTTTGTGAATTTATATATAACCTCGTTATTTCCTTAAACTACTATTTTTGATATATAATAAAATTGTTTTTTAATATACTTTCCCAAAAACGTTTAATTATTTCGGATAAGAAGACCTATTATGGGGTTTCCATGATTTAATTGAAGTATAAAATTTATGACTGACATATTTAAATACGAGAAACAAGTACAGGCAAATTTGAAATGCTTCGTGTAAAATATAAATAAAAAAAAATAAAAAGAGAGCCATGAAAGCAAATAAAATATAAAAAAAAAAATATATACAAAAAGAAAAATTATTGGCAAAGCGATATCCCCAATAGCTACATTTACTCACCATCTTCAAAGGTTTGTGCCATGACAGCATCAGAACCAGGTCCATCTCCCTTGTTATTGAATGCCTTCACAACTATACTATACTGAGTGTATTTCCGTAAACCGGTGAGTCTGTAATCGTAGGAACCGTCACCGTTTCCTGTGATACCCACTCGCGTAGTATTCACCGATTGATCATCTCCTCTGAAATAAAATGGCATGGAGGAACGTTGTCTACCGGGCTGGAAAGATAAAACGAGGCGCCAAAAGCAAATTTTCGAAACGCCTCAAGGTATTTTACAACAAACTGGAGCGAGAAAGAAAGAAACCCCGGAACCCTTATTCTCTCCTTTTCATCCCACATAACACGAAAACTTTTGAAATCTTTCAGCGAAAATTTTCGTAAAGTATTCCCAAAAAATCTTTCAGAAATCTTGCAGGCATCATTCTAAAATATTGTGAAAAGGATTCATAAAAGATTTAACAAAAATATTTCAAGAATATTTCTAAAATATTTTACTGAAAGAGTAGTTAAAATGTTTGAAACTATTTCCATGAAACCTAGCAGAAATCATGCTAAAAGATTTCATAAAATATTGCAAGAAAGTTTGTAAGAATATTATTAAAAATATTTCATTAAATGTTGCAGAAAGGTTGTTAAAATTTTTCTAGTATTCATTTTTTCAAAACGTTTTATAAATCTTGTAGCAACCTTGCAAATAATATTTCTCAAAACATTTTTGAAAACTTTCTTGAAATCTTTTGCGATATGTTCTGAAAATATTTCCAAAATTTTTCAAAAAAATATAATTTTTCGCAAAATTTTGATGAAAAAAAATTACAATAAAACCTTGCAGAAACCTTTTGCAAAGATTTCACACAATATTTCAAAAAAGTTTGTAAAAATATTATGAAAAATATGTCAAAAACATTTCAAACATATTTATAGAAACCTTTAAGGCCGGCGATACACGTAAACGCCTAAATTTTGACCGTTTTTCAGAGGCTTATTTAAAATGGAAGGAATAAATGAATCGTTTTGAAATTTAGCATGTTTATTCGTTACTTATAAAAATATAAGAATCCGATTTTAAAAAAATTTTTTTTTCAAAATGGCCGCTGTAATGACCAAACTTCTGAGGCCCTCGCGGCGAAACGCATCAATTATGGTAATTTTTAGCTTTAGTTAAAGCACTCTAAAATTAAAAAAAAAGGATCGGAGCGTGTTAATAAACCATGTATCTTCTAGTTGAACTAAGGAAAAACTAAAAAGTCAAAAAATCGTAAATTGGCACGACTCAGACAAAAAGAGTCCGATTTTTGACCCTTTTTTTTAACGATTTTTGGATCAAAAATGGCAATTTTTTAAAATTTTGGTGGCATTTTTAAAATTCAACTAGAAGCTAATACTATAAAGAAAATGTGTGCTAAAGTTCATAAGAATCGGTTGAGAACTTTTTGAGTTATCTTGTACGTTAGTTTGAAAAAAGTCGTTTCGAGAAAAACGCGTTCAAAGTTTAGCGTTCGCGTCTAGCGCCGAGTTGAGGCGGAGCACTTAAATGAATTTTTAATCGATACATAATGCGAATTTCATTCTAAAAATTTACGGGCATATTTTTAAGATATTAAACTAACTATTTATGAAAAAAAAAATTCGATTTTTATTTTATTTTACTTGTATCGCCGGCCTTAACAAAAAGGTTTCAGAAAATCTTCCAAAAACCTTCTGTGGGACTAGCGCCTCCATGCCAAACTTATGAGACATTCGTAAGAAGTATTTATTGGTAGCCCTGGATAGCTCAATTGGTTAAAGAGCAGTCGCGCCCGGAAAGCGAAAAATCCGTGGTTCGAATCCCGTCGTCGGTCCAGTAAGTCCAGTCAAGCAGTCCAATTTTTTTCACGAATCCCACACAGGGGGCTCAGCCGGGATGGAGGGTCTGTTTCATAATATGTTCCACAGTCTTACAACGCCACGAAAAAAATATCAGTCATTCGTGAGAAGGAGAGAAGATTGGTCGGTGGTGAGCCCTGGCTAGAGAAGCTCCTTCAATTGTCTTTTTTGAAAAAATTTCAAAAATGTTTTCTAGAAACCTTTTGCAAAATATGGTGATAAGATTTTTAAAAATGTTTCAAAAACCTTTTTAGAAATCCATAGTAAGTTTCTAAACGCGGACTTTTTCACCTTGTAGAAATATTTTTTAGAAATCGTTTTGAAAGACTTAAAGCTTTCCAAGAAATGTTTTAGAAAGATTTTAAAAAGTTTTTATGTTATGTGGGATAGTTACCATAATGGATGATATTATTATTATTATTATTGTATTTTTTTCTTCTTTTTCTCTTTCTGCTAATAAATCTATCTTTCTTTCCGTTACCTCTCATCGCTACATTGTTGAAAAAAGCCCCCTTTTGTCCACTCTTTGAAGATTGAAAAAGAAAAATTGTAATAAGCGAGCAACACAATACGGAAAAAAGTCAAACAATCGATAAAATCTATATTATTAACCCAACCAGTCTCTTTTTGTTGTACATTCATAGTTCTCGATCGTAAAAGTAAGATTGAATTATTTCCACTTGAAGATTCAGTGGAAAACGCTTTATAACGTATTATTACAGATAAAGCTTTCGCCATGTATTATTACAATAAAATTGATTTCATTTCTTTCTTTTTTCCTTTCTTTTTCCCTTTTGCGAGTTTACCTTCATTTTTTTTTTTTTGATCTTTTCATTTTCCTCACAATTTTACTTTCCTTTCTATCTAGAATATTATTTGTTAACGAGCCGTAACATGTTTTCAGATCCTTCTTTTCCCCCTTCGTCCTCTTCCTCCACCGTCTTTTTCTTCTTTTCTTTCTTTTTCTTCTTTTTCTCCTTCGTTAGGTGTAACGAAAGAGAAAATAACGTTTTCCAGTTTTGCCAGCACGAAAAACAGTGATCCATACGCGTCAAGACGGACGATTACTCGAACAAGCTTATTAATGGCGGAACTTTCCAAGTGCCCACTCTGGCAGAGAGATAGAACCTTCATTTTCAGAAGTTCAGAAGCAGAGATCGTCTTGGCGGCTTTCCAGTTACAATAATTAAGCAGATAAAAAAGCTCGTTAGCCATTCAAAGCCGAACAAGCCGTCGTGAGTTTGTAGACGTTGCTCATTTTCAACCTTCGGACTATTAAAAGGAATATCTTTGTCGATTTTTCGATTTTTATAAGTGATAAAAAGTAGATACTCCTCTTGATCTTCTCCTCCGCCTGTCTACAACTACTCTTACAACGAAATGATTTATCATTTCAAAGAGAAAACCCTATTCGAGTATCCTTCTAACTGTAAATTTGATCGCCCTTTTGTATTATCCATCGAACGAATCCCTTTGATTTCCAACGATTGCCAAAGTAAGTAAACCTTATCGATGAGATAGATTGAATAATAATTTACAGCTGCACTTGCCAATCGAATTCAAATTTACATCTCTTTCAACTTTGAATTTATCGTCGAGTTACACATCGTTACTTATGTTAATTTTTCAAGTACCAAATATGCGCCATTGAAATAATATTATTCGATAGAAGTATAAATCTAAATGTTAATATATTCTTATTTAATATAAGAATGTAAAAAAAAATGGATTTTATTTAGTCTTTTCGTATGTGAATAAAATTCAAAAAATAAAATGAAAGCAAGAACTTACAAAAAAATTCGGAGTCTATTTGTAAATGAAGAAAAAAACGAATGATTATTAAATTAAATCACAGACGGTAATAATAATCAATCCATTTTGATTAAAATAGATAAACGATTTTCCTATATAAAATATAAAAAAAAAACAATTCAGTTAATTTATGTTGTTGGGATAATCATAAAATCCGTTTAATCGATTGGAACTTAAGTGGATGCATGATTCTGTACTAGGAAAGCTTCCGTTAACTACCGTTAGACGCTACGAACTGTACTGGAAACTATTCCTAAACAGTGGTAAGGAGATAACGATACCCGAGATTGGTATAGCTGATGGTATATCCGTGAAGCTCGCCGTTCCAAAGGGATCGATCTGGTGGTTGCCAGGTGATCTTTAGTTGCTGCGGTCCCAATGGTTCAACGGAAACGTGCTTAGGTGGCCCTCCTGGAATCTCGCCTTCCGTTTGTGCCTGCACCCAAGCGAAATGTTACAAAACCACAGAGAAAAACAATTATTGTAAAAACTCCAATTATACGATTTATTTTTATATCATGGCTAGAATTTGGAATAAAATTCAATGGCCAATATTATTTTATCGATGAACCTCGATATCAACCATTATATTATTGAATAATGTTCACCATTACCATAAGTAAAACAATTATTTCATAACAATTAAAGGTAAAATTTCTATAATATATTGCAATAAATAGAGATCCTGTATATTTCATCAAATACTATTTAACGTTTTTCTTGTTTAGTACAATTTTAACATTTATTAATAATCGAAAAAATGTTTGCATCCACGTGCAATACCAGTGCTTGACCCTTGTTGTCGAAACTTTACTCGTGCACGAAAGAGCAATCGGCCATTGGAATTTTTCCGTCTGCATTGGACATACCGAAATGATAGCGGTGTATCTGATATTTATGAAAAAAAATGAAACCACGATCGACGACCGTGTCGATGATAACGACCGCGAAAAAAAATGTTACCTACTCTTTTAATGTATTATACAACAAATGAAAATATATATATATGTATATATAGATATCAATGCGATATTGTCGATAGGTGTACACGTATGTATGTATGCATGTATATATGTAATCATGTATGTATCCATATATATATATATGTACGTATATTTATACGTGTATGCATATGCGTGGTGCGTTGATTTGATACTGACATGAAGGATGTCGCTTGGCGCTGATGTTCCAAGGTGATTTTCCGCAAGCACTCGAAAGTGGTAGGATGTGGCGGGTTTTAGTGGCGATACCAGAGCGACCGTGTTGTCTCCTGTTACCACCTTCTGCGTGTTGTGTTCATGCCACACATCTTTCCAGAAAAAGGCAACAAGAATGCTTAGACATTTTTACGTATTTCGCCATATTGAAATATTAATCCACCGTTTGTTAATATTTTTTTCTTTTTCTTTCGAATATAATCTTCTCTTCACTATATAATCCGTCATATTTTATCGTTACATTTTTATTACCATATATACGATGACATGTTTAATTATTTCATTCAATTGTAAAAAAAAAAGGATAACGATAAACCATTATCGGATTGCTTCGGATCTTTGAATGAAAAGCTTTTCATCCCATTTCATTTCTATCCCCTTTCCTTCTCTCTTTCTCTCTCTCTCTCTTTCTCTCTTTCTCGTTCTCTTTCTTTTGAATACGTAGTGTAGAATTCTGATAACTTCGTCGCGTCGAAGCGCGTCTTTACTCTCTACGCTGATGGAAGTGTAATTAAACGTACTTCATTTCCCAAGACTCCGAAGATGAATTTACGCGAACTGCTTCTTCTTATGTCACTCTCGGAGTTCGACTTCCAATTGTGCCGTCTTAATATCAATTAACTTCGGGAAAAGCTCACACCACCGGTAAATACCGTAGTTATTTATTTCCTCTTTAAGCAAGTACATTTCTAATTAAATTGCTGAGAAAGAGAGAAAGAGAGAGAGAGAGAGTAAGTGAAAATGAGAATAAGAGAACAATTGAGAAAGCGAGCCAAGTTAATCGAACTGGTTTCTAAAAAATATTCTTTTAAACCAGGACGAACTCTTATTTAATATGTTTATGAGTAAGATGAAAAACTATAAATAAAAAAAAAAAGTGCCACTTTTGTCGTCAATATAACCATTATAATGATCGTTCTTTTATTTATTTCCCTTTCTTCCTGTTTCACGCATTAAACTCGAATCTTAGCAACGTTTAGACGAAAAAAGTTTATTTCTGTTAATTAAACACAAACGAAAATTTATCCAAATTTAACGAGCATACGAACTTAAGGGTTTACATTTTCATACAACAAGAATCTTTTTCACATTAAAATAGAGATAACCGAAACCGGCGATTTTCGTTTGTCAAAATTTTCATGAAAACATTGAAAGAGATATCGAATTCGGTATATTTGCTTTGTGCCCTTTTACTTTACGAAACTCACGATTTATAAAACTTAGAACGGTTTAAATCGAATTTCTCTATGAATAGTGTTTAAACTTTGAAATTAAACATTCTTAAAAATAACAAAAATTTGGAATGAAAAGTAAAATTAAAATTTGTTATTGTTATACATTCGAATCTCATTTTAACAATCGAAAATTGTTGTAGAATATCACTATGTATTTATATATATGTAGATATGTAAATACGATATTATATCGGCTCGCTATTGTCTCATCAAAATGTTAAAATCGAAACCCTCGACACGTAATTAAAGTAATTACATTTTTCTTCGTATTACGCACATTTACATGCACGCGAATACACACACACACATATGTATATATGCTTATATATAAATATATATTTTAATTGCATCAAAGTTCTTCGATATGTATATTAACGAGGAATATAAATTATGTTTCCTGGATAAATAAAGGTAGCAAATAAAATAGAGTAAATTAAATGAAATTCCTATTAGTAAATTGATAAAAACAATTACTTATATAAAAAGTAAATCGATAAAAATACGACTGATCAAATTTATCACTAATATTCTTTTGCATATATTAAAATAGCAAAGAAAAAAAAACATCCCGAAAAAAATATTATACTTAATGAAACTTTAATATTTTTCAATATATTATTATGTTGTACGAAGCAGGGTAATAATACTATTTACGCCTACTCAATGTATCGCTATTTTCAACACAAGCAGAAAGAATAAGAAAAACAAGAAAAAAAAGAAAAAAAATACAGAATAATTTGATCGAATCTCAATCTCCGTCCCATTCGGCTCCCGGATGTATTCATGTGGTACATGAATCCTCGTCGATCTCACGGCGTTAGATAGGTTAGAATATTACGCTATATAATCTCATCTCGTTGCAACATCTATCGGTCGTTTTACACCTCTTCTTCCTTCTCTATCCTATCAGGCTTTCATCTTTTGCTATGTAAAGAGATTTGTGAAAGATATACTGGAGTTCAGACGTGTGCTCTTATATATATATATATATATATATATATATGATATATAAAGACAGAAAGATATATATGTGCCTTTCAACGGGCAAAATTGCAATACTGGTGTTCCCACAAAAGGACATTACGAGGAAGGAAATGATACGAAGTCTCTAATCATGTGCGTATAAAATGATGAAGCTCGGAATATCAAACGCAATGATTATATCGTGTCGTCTATGTACAGCTTTATTATTACTAGCAATATGTAAATGCTCGTTACACGTTACGATAAACTGTATAATTATCGATTTCTCTTTCTCTTTATTTCTTTACGGAATTATTATAGTGATTACATTATAATTACGTACGCATGCGTATCAATTACATATCTTGTTGACTTTCGAAAACGTTTGATATTTCAATTAATTATTATAAAGTAAAATAACGTAGGAAAACACGCGCAGCAGATTACATTGAACTACTAGTGTTTGTTGTATTCTAGTACAATCAATATAAACTGTTTCTATATGTATAAGAAAATATTGTATACATAGGAGGTGTCGTAGTATTTGACAAATCATTCAAACAAATCCGAAGAACGAAGAAAGAAACAATTCGAAAGTATTGATCGAAAATAGATTTAGAATTGAATGAGGGATGAATCGATAATGTGAAATCTTTATAAGAATAATGTAGAGTAGATGTATATCTCATTTTGATGATTCATTACGATTAAATGAAACTTACCCTGAGCTTCTTTGTATTGTACGATATAATTTGTGATCGGTGAACTCGCATGACTCGCGTCTTGATCGCTTTGCGGTGACGACCAAGCTACGAGAATCGAACGGCTCCCTTTTTCTGCCACGTGCACGTTCCTCGGAAAGTTTGGAGGTTCTTGGACGAGCAAATGGATTGTAGCATGATCGCGACCATAAGCATTGCCAGCAACGCAAATATAATCGCCACGGTCCATATGGCTGACTTGAATTATTCTTAATTCCGATAATACTCGACCGCCTACTACGTTTTTTTCTATGCTGTATCTAAACATAGTGGAGAAAAAAGAATAAACAAATTAAAATCCAACGATTAATAACAATTAAATAATTTTTCTTTTGATTTAATTTTAAATTTCCAGACATTAATATTTTATAAAAGGACATCGTAACATACGAATGATGTTTATTTTTTTTTCTTTCTTATCGATGACATTTTAATTATAATAAAATAAACGTTTTCAAATTACACATCTTTTTTAAAAAGTTTAACCTTTATAGATTTGTTAAAGAAATGAAACACAAAGATCCTGAGATCGAGATAACTCCAGTTGAAATGTAACGATATATATATATATGTAAGATTCGTGAAAAAAAACTGGACCGCTGGACTGGACTGGACCGGGACTCGAACCACGGATCTTTCGCTTTCCGGGCGACTGCTCTTTAACCAATTGAGCTATCCAGGGCCCACCGACCAGTTCCCTTCCACGAATGCTTATCAAGTTTGGCATGGAGGCGTTCGTCCCACATATATATATATATATATATATATTAGCGTTACACGTTTCTCTCAGTAGGATTGCGCATGATTAATTTCTATACGCACCTAACGTCGTAATTAGGATCGACCCTACTGTCACGAACACGCCAGCTCAGATCAAGAGGAGAGTCTCCTTCAGCTTCGCATCGTAGCGTTACGCTATCTCCTCTTCTCACCGACTCATGCCTCGTCCTTACTGTCACCTGAGGACCCGCTGTTTACCAAAGCATCAGACAAATTATATAACATCCTTTGAAGCTCTATCCAATATTTAATTAACAATTAAAATAGAAATATTTCATACATTTATTATTTTACTATTACAAATTTCTTGTCTTATATTTCTTGTTTAATACTTTATTAACATAGAAATGAATTATATATATATATATATTTTATTATTATATATTATTATATATATATATTTAAATGGTTAGATAGATAGATAGATATATAGAAAGCTATTTATAACAGAAATTTGAAGGGATATCTCGGATGCCTCTTGCTAATTGATGTAGATACAGCAACTATAGGTATAACCCAATGCAACATGAATATTTTACCATGAACCGTTAGGCGAATGAGCTTGCTGAGGCCAGGTCCAATACCGTTGCTCGCTTGGCATAGATAGGAGCTGGCATGATCTCTTGATACTCGTAGAATCACCAAGGACCCATTTTCGGCAACCCCTGCTCCCTCCGTACCACTATATCCTAGCTCCCTATAGTCGCCTGGTGTTTCACCTAAATGTTCGGAAGGACACGTTTACTCTCTCACCCTTCTATTTATCACCATGCCGCCTTCATACCAATAAAGATTGCTAATTATTATGGAACTCGAACTTCAATCGTGTATTTCTTGTAGGGAGATGTAAACTCGAACGTTATTTTTTCGTTAAAAGTAATTGACTTCAATGAATATTATTCATTAAATTTAACACTAGATTTACGGACTAATCTAATTTGACTCATTTCCAATTTTTTTGCTACATATATATAAAACTTAAATATTATTTTTAAAAAATATATGTTTGTTCTTAGCTACGTAATGAAATATATTTAAATATTAATACCTACCCTCTACTAAATCCTTCATTCAAACAATGTTTGTAAGTCATTCAGAAATATTGAACAAAACATCCGTTAATCTAGTGTTAATATATATATATATATATGTTATGGTCAAAATGCATATATTCCGAGCATTGTATAAATTGCCCAAGGGCCTCTGTCCAATCTATAAAATAAGTTTTACTGAAGTATGTTTAGGGGAGGAAAGAGAAAGAAAATTTCAAGCTATTGTAAGTTAAACAAACCACGACAGATGTGTATGTTTGTATGGTCATGAAATGATCATCACTTTCGGTACTGTGCACGCACACGTGCACGCACGTTCTCTCAACTGCCTAACTATAAGAACTTAATCTTCTAAACTTCCACGTTGTGAAAGGGCAGAAGGAGGTAATAGTAGTTATAGTTTGTATGTTCTAGAACAGAAAATGACATCATATTCCCTTCCCTCATTTCCCTTGTCATCTCCTCCACTGCTAAGAGTTAAATAAACGTTTTATTCTGACAAAACTTCGAAATATATATACCTTTCTTTTGTCTTTAAATATATACTTTTCTACGATAAACAAACTCAATCGATAATATCAAAAGAAAGATAAGAAAAAAAAGAAAAATAAGTAGGAAATATAAAAGTTGATAAAAAAAAAATGAAACGAAATAAAAATAAGTTTGGTATGCACAATAAGATTGAAAGAATCGTAATACCTATGCAACGAATTTATAATAGACGCGAAGAGATTCTTTTCTTGAATCGGGCAATTCGTCGAAGGAATCTAAAACTCGCGTGGCCTGCATACCTTCATGGCTGATCGAAACGATCTAAAATCCCCTTCCCTTTGACTGCGAGAGTATCTACTTCGAATCTTCGTATATATATATGTATGTATGCATGCATGTAACCACCCGAAGGAAAAGGAACGTTTCAATATCGTCTCTTTAAAGGGTGTACCGGTTGGATTTGAAGCGTTCAGAATTTTTTCTTTCTTTCTTTTTTTATTTATTTAGTTTTTTTTTCCTTAACCGAACAAAATACTCACGATTCTGACTTTCTCATTTTAAAGAAAATGAGAACGTATAAAACAAAAAGAATAAAAAAAAGAGAAAAACAATATTCATGAAAAGATAGAAGAAATAATAGAGAGAGAAAGAGAGAGAGAGAGAGAAAAAAAGAAAGAGATAATAATAACTTGGAACAATTTTTATTCGTTGCATGAGAGAAAGAAAAAGGAATTTTAAAACGAAGGCAATTCAACTATCGATGAAATATCATGTCGACGATCAATGTATTGATGAAACTAATTATCTAACCGCTTTGTCAGCCGAATGGCTTATTTCGAAGTGAATGAAACTGCTGAGAATGGGCGATCAGCGAATTTCGTGATAGATCGTGAACCGTACCCTTTTCTCGTCCTTCTCTTTCTCCCTTATTTCTCCTTCGCCTACCACCTGGTGTAACTTAATGAAAGCCATTTTATATCAGACAGACGCCAAACTCGATCGACATAAAAGCTGTCAAAAGTTATTAGGCTACTCGAACTTCATGAAATAAAATAAAGACTAGAAAGGATGTGGTGAAATAAAAAAAAAATATATATATATATATATATATACAATAATATGTAAAGAAAGTATCTATATATTGTACCGATTTTTTTTTTACATCATTTAACGCTTTAAAAACATAATAAAACAAAGAACGAAAAAATAAAGATCCAGAGAAATTCAATGTGAGCTTGAATATTATATTATATTATGACGAAGTTAATTTTGACGAGATAGAGAATAAGTAGATTTGGTAAATATTAATGTGTCGACTGACGTGATAACTTCTTTTTTATTTTTTTTTTTTTTTATATAAAACGAAGGAAATGAATTTGATGAGAAAGAGGGAGAATTTAAAAGATTATGTATCGGTATTACTATGTATATATACATAATACATATGAATGTAACAATCGGGAAGAGAAAAATTTGAGAAATAAAGAATAAGAAGGGACCATGAAAACGAGAACAAGAAATTTTTCCATCTACGTAATTGTTAAAGTGAAAAATGAGGTAGAAGTAGAAGAAGAAGAAAAAGAGATGAGAGAAGGGAATTCAGCTTTGAAGTTGGCCCGATTTCTAGTCAAGTCTTCATGACATTTGAAAGAGATATATATATATAAAAGAAGGACGTTTCTCACCATAAGGATATAGAAGGAAGTAGAAAGAAAGAGAGAGAGAAAGACTCAAGCTTTAAGAAGTCGTGACTTACCGATAGATTGCTTCCAAGTCACAGTCGGAATGGGGAATCCTTCGGCTTGACAAGCAATGGAGACGCCGTAACCTACAACGGCATCCTGGTCGATAGGTTCCACGGTCCACCTCGGAGGTACTAAAAATACGATCCAATTGGCTTAAAATCTTCCGGCTGGTCGAGCGCGAGTTCGATCAGAATTTCATTCGGATCCCTCTGTATTTTCCCGGTCCTCTCGACGTCGACCCCGTTTCTTTTGTTTCGAGTCGTCGAAGTGAACTTTAAATCGACGTCGATTACGCGTTTTCCTTTTTTTTCTTATTTCTTCTTTCTATCACCTTCAATATATATATCATTCTATCGTTTTCTTTTTCATTCTCTTTCATGAAAAGATATATCACCAATTATATAAACGAGAAAATCTTAATCCGTTTAGATATTTATTTTAAATTGGATATATATATTTTTGAAAGATATTTAAATAATTATATTCGGAATAGTTTAATATAAATAAAACAAATGAAAAAAGGAACAATTGAATAATTTCGAAACGTTATACTGCAAATTGGAAGACCACTGTTAAAATCATGTCCTAAATTTATCCTCGAAATGCATTTCGGGTTATTAATGGTTTGAAAATTACTCAAGCGAACGTCAATAACAGCAAAGAGATAAAAAGAGAAATAGCAGAACGACACGTAGGATGGTACAAAATTTTTCTTCGAACGTTTATTTACGTTTCTATAAACGCAGACATTTTCTGTTAGAAAATTATTACGATAGAAAGATATCAATCAATGTTTTTGAAGGACATACCGAAGACCAAGCAATTACATTCGTTCTTGATAAACGATCCGATTGATTATTGTTCGTTCAATTTGGATACTTGTCAAAGAATCGTCTTTTTGATAAAATAATTTATTCGAATTAAAAGACGTCGAGAGGACTGAGATCATAAGATTTATCTATCCATTTTTCTTTAAGTTATTTACTTTCGTACCAATCAAGTACGCATTACGTACTTACGTGTTTTATTTATCATATTTTTTCTTAAAAAACGCATGCAAATTTCAACGTATGTCTATACTGCATACTTACGCAATCACTAAGAATGTTTAAACAACAATATGTTAACAATTTAATGATGATATAATATGTAATTAATATTTATACATATATATGTATATGAATATATTTTTCATATATATATATATATGTATATATGTATGTATCTATTACTAAGTTACTTGAATTGACGATGTAGTATCTCTCGCAAAATCAAACGTAAACCGTCAATGCAGTCAAATCAATAAATGTTGTGCGTGTGCTTCTGAAGAAAGGAAAGAAAGAAAATAACGGGTCGTGCTAGACTGGCCATTGAAACGAAGAAAGTGCTCTCATCTGCAAAAAAAATTCGAAACAAAAAAATTAAAATAAAATATATTCTCGATAAACCGTTAAAATATAAGTAATAACATTGCGTGCAAAGAGACGATAAATTGAATAAAAGAGATACGAAACTTTTTAAATAAATGTTCGATAATAATAACAATAATAATGATAATAATAATAATTAAAAAGGTGTAAGTAATGAAACGAGATGATGACATTCCTGATAAGTAAGAAAGATATCATGCGAAGTGTTAAAAAAATATAACTATTAAAAAAAGTCGATATCGTTCAAGTACTTTTTTAATATTGATTGAAAGGGTGCATGTATCTTTGTGTATATGTATATTTGTATGAACAAGCAACATTCCAAGTAAAAAAGTACCGTCGACAATATAAAAATACGGTGCATAGAAATAACAACAAGAACAACAACGCAAACGATATTTTTCTAATATTTTTAACGATGAGAAACACATAAAAATCGAGGCATACAAAGAAAAAATGCGAAATACTCATTTAACTCTTTCATCGTCATTCCAAGTTGCTCTGATATAAATATAATATATATATATATATATGCTTATACACGTGTATTCATGTATATGTCAACGTTAAATTGTATAATTTAATTAAATCATAAAGAACCTAGATTTTATTCGAAATAACTAGACGTTTTAGAGAAGGTATATAAAAGAATTTTGCGCTATTCACTAAAACTGGTAGTTTTAGGAGGTTACATATGAACTCACGAGAGGCGAGTAGTTAAAATATGAGATTCAAATTTGATCCGTTAAATCGGCTTATCTTATTATAACAATGCTCGTAGTTATCAGTTCTTATCTCATCTTGTACTTTAAAAATCAATCTTCTGTTTGTCGTGCTGTTTTATCGGATCTAATTTATAGATTAAATTTCAATTTCATATCTTAACTACTTGCCTCTTGTATATCCATACATTATCAAGTTAAAGTATGTAATTATGCTTCTTTCATATTTAAACAAGTCAGTATAGTTATTTCAGGGTTTACCTAGTCATGTCATGAATTAACGGATTTTACAAAATAAAGCTAACATATATATGTATATACTCTTATACTATATATAGATATATATATACTATATATATATATATATATATTATATACTATATGATACGTATGAATATACCGTAGGTATGAATATATGTACGGATATATAAATATGAGATGTGATATAAACGTTTACTATGCGAATGCATGCTTTACATCCTTTACAGACATTTGTTGCATTACAGGAGCACAACAACGTCTCGTATAATATATTTGTATATTATATATAATATGTATACATATATATGTATATAGATATTATTATTATATCTATATAATTATATAAATATATTTATTTATCATATATAATAACAAATTACTACGATACACACTACCTAGGGTTTACATTGAACCCTTTCCAAGAAAAAACCGGAATAACAAAATAATAAAATAAATAAAAACATATTTCTAATCTAATTCTCAAGAAAATTTGTCAAACTTCGCTTACGGCGAATCTTTAACGACGATGTATAAATTACTGAGATGATTATGAGAGGGATGTACGAGGAAAGAAATTAACAAACCAAAATAAATAGAAGAAAAAAAAGAACGGGTAAAAAAGTTAACGTAATTAAAAAACACTTTCCTTGCCTTACCAACTTAGTTGAGTTTATAACCGTGGCCAGTGACTCATTGAAATACTTACAATTAGTCGAGAAAAAATAATAAAATAAATTTATATAAAGTTGCAAGAGTTTTATAGTAAATATTTTTCATTCGTTAATTAGGTTAAATTAGAATAAACGCCGATACTTCTTTAAATGGCGACGATCTTTACACGGCGAACTTTGATTTTTGAAAATGAACATGCAAAATGATAATGATAATAATAATAATAGTAATAATGATAATAATAATAATAATAATAATAATAATAATAATAATAATAATAATAACAACAACAATAATAATAATAATATTAATAATAATAATAATAATAATAAATAAATAAATAAATAATGATAATAAAAATAAGGATAGATCGATCATTTGAAAATAATGAATATTATTAATTATTATTACGGACGTATAAGTATCTGCAATGCACGTATCTTCTGTTGTACTCCTTGCTTTTCAGTCCTAAAATTATGTTACCAATCGAATAATTCTCTTTTTGCTTTAATAAAGATATCCTTGTCAAGTTCGTAATGTTTTTCTTCCATAAGAGAAGGATCGATTAACCAAAAAATGATTTCTTACCGTTGTTCCTTAGAAAAAAAAAAGCATTTTTCGTCTAGTCGAAAAATCAGAACAAATAGAGGAATTTTACTTTATCCTTAGTCGTTTTCATAATGCAGGTATAAGAAAGAAAATGGTAATAAAATCCTGCTAGAAATTTCTAGCGTCTTACGATCCTCTTTAATACGATCGTGGCGAAAGGGGTTTAAGAGTACAGAAGGAGGAAAAAGGAGGGAAGGATGGTGGGGGTTAAAATAACTAAAGAGGAAGAAAGAAAAGCTCGCGGTCGTAATGTGAACCGAATATAAAAATACCACTAAAAATTTACGCTCGCCTGATCGTAAACCTGTTGCGAAAAAGACAGCTTCTCATAAAATGAGAGAAACGTTGAGCGTGTACATGTGTGTGTGTGTATGTGTGTGTGCGCGCGCAAATGCAAGGAAGCATCGAGCGTATGGTATTCCGTTGATGAACATGGTCACCAACTTAAAAGCACATTGCCTCCTATTTGGACAAAAGAGAACTAACATTATGACTATCTCGAGTACGTCTTCTTACGGCTTTGGTCCGTGTTACATTCGGAAGGAACGCATTTGTTAAATGACCTGAGAAAAAAACTTGTCTCGAGTTTCTCTACCTGCCTGGCTTTTTTCTCGTTTAAACGTTAGTGTGCGTACACATACTTCTCTATAAACTTACTACCTACATATGCTCACGTATGACAGAAAATTTTGATAAAAGAGAAAAAAATAGAGAGCCAAAAAGAAGAAAGGATGAGAACGAGTTATTTTATCTCGAAAGCTAAAGATATATAGGAAAGATAAAAAATAAGGAAAAGGGTAATGCCATCAATCAAAGGAGTTTCTTGATGTACAGAAAATATGTAAAAAAAAAAAAATATTAAATTTCTAATACAACGTATTAAGTAATTCAATATATGCACTAACTGCTTTTCTATTATATTAAAATTTATTTTCAAAGGGAACGTATGATAGAAACAAAAAGAAGTAAAGCAGATTTCTTTGTAGTCACTTGTATATACAGCATTTTATAGACATTAGAAGAAAGATATACGATAGCGAGTAGTAGTAATTTGTTATGAGATTGTAGCTAAAGAATAAGAAAAAGATGAAGTATAATAATATAGTAGTAATATTGTTTCAGTTTTGAATCACTGTATATTGGCTTCTTAAAGTGGACTATTTGTTCGTTTCCGATCAAACGATACAGTTTGATATAGAAAAAGAAAAATAGCATTAAAAAGAACTAAAAAAGAAAAAGGAGTAAGTAAGTGAGTAGAGAGAGCATCGTGTTAGCCAAAAGTGTTTAACGCGAGAGGTAATAATGGAGAATAAATGGGAAGGCACGTGTTTCTTATCGTTCCGGAATACCGGCATACACTCCGTGGTTCCACGTTATCGTTCTTAGCGAGGCCCATCCGTTATTACTATCGTTATCATTTTCAACGTCCTGTTAGCTTTCGAAAATCGCATATCCTATTTTCCATTCCGTCGCACTCCATTTCGTTTAGCAAAGAGACCAAAAGAGTGAGTTTTATCTCCGAGTAGTGACTCTATTAAAATTGCGTCAGTGGTATAGCAGGATCGTTGAAAAATTCAGGCCACGACTTTGCTGTTCTTTTTTCTTTCTTTTCTCCCTGTTTTTATTTCTTTTCTTTCTTTATATTTTTTATTATTATTATTATCATTTCAATTTCTAATATTTTAGAGGCAGACTCTGTGTCAGATATAATTTTGATGCTAACATAAATATGTATAAATTATGTCGAACAACGTCTTTCAACCTATCGTATCACGTTTGAAGCTTTGTCCATTGTGTAATATTAAAGGACATCTTATTATTATATATCGTCATTCTATAATTATGTATTTGTCTATGTTTTGATTTTACACTTTAATCTGCCAACGCGAGAAAACCTGTAACAAAGTTTCACGAATAACAGATTTGTGACTCGTTACAAGTTCATTGACACTAAATTTAATAAAGTTGTTATTACATTGTAACGTAATTATGTTGATACATTGACGTTTCATTGTTGTATTGTTTACCTTGATAATTAATTTTTCAACAAAATTAATATACTCTCAAACAAGTATAAATGATAATGAACTATCGTAATATATTTATATATATAATTCTGAAAGTGTGATAAATGTAGAAACGCGTACATGGTCGATGGTAAATTTGTCAATATAAAATTGATGTATTCTGTAATTTATATATGTATAGTATATATACCTACACGTACATAAGCTATAACAGAAGAGTTGCTCGATAGTAAACTTTCGAACATGAAAACGATGATGAATGTGAATACAGACCGCATTGATTTCTACTTCGTAGCATAATTTAAATTTACGGGGTTGCCTTTTTATTTTTTGTATTTTGTTGTTCAGTTTTGTTTCTGTTGTTTTTCTCTTCTCTCCCTCTCTCTCTCTCTTTCTCTCTCTCTCTTTCTCTCTCTCTTTTTTTTTTGTTAATTTTTTTTTACCTTCTTTTTTTTGTTACAATAGCGAACCACTAGCTGCCAACTGAAGTTGTGGGACTTAATGAATATGAATGAAAGGAAGAACATTATGCCACAACACTACGTCATGGCCTTAATACTCTTGACGTTTTATATAACGAGAAAATACCAAGGCGAGCTCTCGTACCTTCGCTCTCGCCCTTTTTTTCCGGTCGAGATGGCGCGTATAAAAAAGGAAGAAAAACGAGAGAAAGAAGGAAAGTCGAAACTTTCGAAGAGGAGAGAAGAATTATGCTTCCTTGTGAGATTACAACGCGGTCGACCGATATCGTTTCCTTATTTTTTTCTATGTTTTCTCTCTCTCTCTTCTTTCCGCTTTTTTTCTCTCTCGTCAACTCTTTTTCCGTCTCTTTTTCTTTCTTTTTTTTCCCCACAGAAGTACACACATACACATCTATATATACATACATGCACAGTTTCTTGAACTATTTTTCTTCCTTGGTTCACAGCATTACCTGGACAAATGGATAATAAATTAATTGAACAGCATACTCTAGATTTTCAAAGAGAAAGAAAAAAATAAATAAATAAAGAAAACTTTGCTCATTTATAATCCTATCTGAATCTCTCTTTTATGGACTTTTTATTTTATCTCTCTTTTATAAATCCTATCTGTTTCCTGATTGAGCATAGGAGCTAATGAATCCGTGGAAAGACGAGACTAGTTGTGGTGTTTGCGAGCGTGAATAATATATCCTCGTATGCGGGGTACTGAAAAAGAGATGTAGAAAAAGAAAATAGAGAAGAAGATAAAAAAAAAAGAGAAAGAGAGAGAAAGAAGAAAAACGATAATTCGCATGGCTATTTACAAGTCAAATCTCTCTAACGATGCGACTCATGGAACGTGCCATGTAAAAGGGGCGGTACATATAAAAAAAAATAAAATAAAAGAAGAAGACGATTATTAAATACCGTAAAAAGAAAAACCCTATAACGTTAGAAGAACGTTTGAATGAAAAAAGTATGACGATAAAAGTGATGTATTTATATCGATTTTTACTTTGCTTTCGTATTACATGATAAAAAATAATCGCTTTCTAACAAATTGAAATTGACAGAAGTTTAGAAAAAGTAAACAGAGAGAAAGAAAGAGAAAAGTTAGAGAAAAGTAGCCTATCCGTCTTATAGTAAAAATTGGCAGAGACCTTGGAGAGAGTGTTCGAACTCGGGCCAAACATCTGAGACTTTTCTAATCAGCAATATTGTAGTCTAAGGAAGGTAAGGTAGAGAGAAAATAAAGAAAAAAGACAAGAAATTAAGGAAAGAGATAAGGGTGGGGAAGGGCTGGGAGGAGTAGGAAGGGGATGTAAGCACGTCACACGGTTTGCGATCTCTCGTGGGACGTTATCAGCAAATTCGGAGGGGGGGGGGTAAGGAGCAGGCTCTGGTGTGTGCCGCATCCAAAGGGAAGAAGAGGGAATGAGAAAGAGGGAAGGGAGGAAGGAAAGAGGATTCACGTACGTGTTAGAGAATCGAGGTTCTTCGATCCTTCTCAAATTCCATGCTTCTCGTCCTTTTCTCGAACGAAGATGTTACCTATACACACACACTTCTATATATATATATATATATATATATATATATATATATATATTCGAGAATGCGAACAGAGAGAAAAAAAAAGAATTCTCTCATGATCTTCAAGCTTGTGCGATAATCAAAGATAACGATTAAAAATATGCAAAGTTAAATGTATATATATATATACTCTCTGTTGACATTATTCAAAATGAAATGTCGGTTTATGTACACGGGACATGTTCTTATATATTAGAAATATCGATTAAATCATATATAATATGTATATTACGTATGTATGGTATAGTATAGATAAATATATTAAATTTGAATGATGTTTTTTTTGTTTTGTTTTGTTTTGTTTTTTGGGATGGACACCAACCAGCGACGGAGAGACCGGTCGTATGTTCGACCACGCCAGCGACGTTGCTGATCTGGCACGTGTAGTTCCCACTGTGCTTAGCGTTGACGCTATTTATCGTGAGGATGCTGGAAAACGGCGGATAGTCGCTTATCTGTATGCCGGCGTTCGTCGTCTCGACGTGGCTAACGCCGATGGCGGCTTCGACGGGCTGAATTTTCGTTTGCCCATTTGGCTGAACCTTCGTTGCCTGAACAGCTACCACCGAGGCAGTCGATGTACCACCACCGTCACTTGCTCTGACCTGAATCGGTTTGCCATCCATCAACCAAGTGATGTTGAAAGGCTGGTCACCCTGGCTCGCTGTACACATTAGCTGTGTCCTCATCCCCTCCGTCAGACCGTTTTCGAAATAAAACGGCGAGATCCGCGGTGGAACTATAAACGTTACACGTCTGATGATAATCATGCGACGATCACGTCATCGTAAGTGTCGTTCTGTAGAGTAGTAGATTAATAGTAATAATAGTAGCAGTTAATAGTAGTAGTAGTAGTAGTAGTAGTAGTAGTAGTAGTAGTAGTAGTAGTAGTAGTAGTGGTAGTAGTAGTAGTAGTAGTANGTAGTAGTAGTAGTAGTAGTAGTAGTAGTAGTAGTAGTAGTAGTAGTGGTAGTAGTAGTAGTAGTAGTAGTAGTAGTGGTAGTAGTAGTAGTAGTAGTAGTAGTAGTAGTAGTAACCGTCGTTGTTGTAGTTTCACTCCATCCTACCTAAATGCTTATATAATACAATTTTTCTTTTTCTTATTTCTCTTTTTCCTATCTCACTTTTCATTCCCTTATTATTAGACATCAATATTTATTATACCGATGGATATATTACTTTCAGTAACATACTGGAGTATGTGCCAAATTTTCCCTGTTTCCTCAATTTCTTCTCTCCCTTCTTCTATTTTTTTTTTGTTTGATCCGTCGTTAGTGGTAGCTGCGGTTTGGCTTCATAGAAGACTAACGGCAAAAAGAGCTAGCGTATGTAACATTTTCATCTGTTCCACGATTTCAATCAATTTTGAATAACATTATATGTATAATGTATAAATCATATATATATATATATATATATAAATATGAAATATATATAATGTCATGAAATATGTCTTTTTAGAAGGAGTTAATGCGAACGAAAATAAAAAAAAAAAAACAAAAAAAAAACATGTGTGCAGATCACACGTGTTAGAAGTGAAACCTTCAAAAATCTAAGTTTCGAGAATATGAGACGAATTGACAGTTTTAAGAGTAAGATAATTGTAGGATTTATTTATTATAATATTATTACTATGTATAATAAAGTTCACCGGTATGGTCTCTGGGTGAAATAGCTAATAAAAAGTACACTTTTCACAATTCAAGCGATAAAAACGGAATGCCGAATGCGATAGTTATAAATAATCACCAAAATGGTAGGATGTTTATCAAAGGAAATATAATTCGTCAGAAATTAAGTAAATATAAATAATCCTTTTTTTGAAACTCAGGTATAAAATTTTTTTTGTTAGTATGGTTTTCTATTTCCCGTTTTTATCTACATTCTTGCGCTGTATAACAAACATTTTAGGATAGATGAAATAAAGACATTACGAAAAAAATATGGAAAATACTACTGGACTGAACGAAGGTTCTGGTAAAATGCAATGAGAGATCTAATAGAGATATTCTCTAGAAATGTTTTTTCAACTCTATAGCCTGTCACACTTCGAGACCCTTATTATTTATAACATATCTCGTCTTTATTCTTTGGACCACAAACTTATATTTTTAAATACTCTCGTCTAAATAAAGACCTAAACAACGAAAAATTTAAAAAATGCATTGAATCCTATCGCTCTCTTAGCTTATCGAACTGTATACACTACGTCTCAAATTTCAGCTCCGTGGTGAGCTCCACCGGTTCACGCTGGGCGTTCAACATCTTAAAAATGTTTTTATTTTATTGAAAAATTAGTATAAGTTTCCTAAATACGCAAATATCATAATTTATAATATAATTTTCATATATGCATGGGTCAGTACATCTCTTTGGATATTTTTCATATAAAAATCAAATTTAATAGACATATTTTATCTTTAGGTATCAAATATATTTTATAAAGAAGCAAAATATAAAAATRTGACAGTAATTTACTTGCTTTTGAATGGAATTTGTTAGCTGCTCTTCATTTATTCCACAGTATTCTCTAATTCTTTTTCTCTGACGTATCTGGTAATCCTTTTTTTTTTTTAAATATTTCAGACAATACAATTATTATATATTCTATGTATGTCATAATTATTTATTATAATATTTGCGAAATAAAGAATTTAATATAAATTTTTTAATAAAATAGAAACATTTTTAAATAGAAATAGAAAAATAGAAAAATAGAAATAGAAAAAAAAATTAGAAAAATAGAAAAGAAGTGACACGTATATATATACCTTCCAGACTCACGTAGACTTACACACTTATACAACTTACAAAGACGGACTTCACACCTTTTTTCTTTATTTCGACCGTCGGTTCGTTTGGACCTTATACTTTTGTCGCATACCTACGTGCTTATCTCTGTTTATTCTTCTACCCTTCTATCGCTCCTACCTACAAGCAGGTATAGTATCGAAATTATTCTATATGTATCCACGCTTTGTAGTATGCAGTCGCACACAAATACACACATATACAACCAGGAGCGATAACTACGAAGCAGAGCATAAAGAGGAGACCGAGAATAGGAAAAACTATATAGCTATATTTTGTCTCATTCTTTTGCAGGCTCAATCCTATATGTTTGTCTCTATTTCTCTTCTTATTAAATATCGTGGCCCTTGCATAGCGGCCCGTCGCTCTGTTGCCTATCCGTATACAGGCTCGGTTGCCTCGCCATCTACCGCTTCGTTGCCTGAACCAGCGTTTCATTTTTTTCAAATCACTCCCTATTTTAAAGAAGTTTTCACTTCAAAAAATAAAAGAAAGTAAAGAGAAACTCGGTGGTTAAAATAACGGAACACGTATGGCTTTGGTCTATCCTTTTCTTGTCGCAACCACCTCTAACAACTTTGTCCCAGGCTATGTGCCACGAGAAACGTGACATTATTTTCCTGCTCGCTGTCTGTCTACAGCCCGAGGTGAACTACTCTACTTCGGTACGCACCGGAGTCAGTTCCAACCGCAAAGTCTCGTTATACTTGCTCCTCGTCGTTGTCGTTGCCGTCGTCGTTGTCGTTGTCGTTGTTGTCGTCGTTGTTGTCGTCGTCGTTGTCGTCGTCATTGTCGTCGTCGTTGTCGTCGTCGTTGTCGTCGTTGTAAGAGCTAATGGAAGGTCACGAAGTGTTGGAAACACGTTGCACATATGTATCTCGTTTATATTCGCTACTCTTTTAAACAAAATCTTTTCTCCTATCCTCAATTTCGATCACTTTTTTATATTTAAAAAAAGGGGAGAAACGGCATTTTTTAACGATACATTGTTATTAAATTGTACATATAATTTTTTTTATTCCTCATTTTTATGATTATTAATTAACGATTTCATCCACACCGATATTATCGTGCAAATTTGCAGTTCTACAATTTTATATTATACTTTTAATATATCTTAAAAAGCTTGACCAAAAGTCTAAATTGAAAAAGCTCACATCGAATATAAATGTATGAGATAATTAAGTATACAATTTCTATATTATATTAGAATATGAATAAAAGTATGATAAAAATAACGTGTCGGACAAGAGAGAGAAGCGATAATAATTCAATAACCTTACTCGGTACATAGCAATCTAATGAACTTCATTTTATAAGAACCAATGAAAAATCTAGTCGCTTTTCATGGGACAAACTAGTAACTTGCTAGCGGACTAAATTAACTGGCTATTTTTAGCTGATTTTAGCATTGTCAGTTCACTTGATAGAGCGACAAATAACGTGTAGAGAGAGAGAGAGAGAGAGAGAGAGAGAGAGAGAATAAAAAGAAAAATCGCTATCCTTTTTCTGTATCCTTTTTTTTTTTTATCATAACTTTCAAAAGCAGAATCCGTTGCTCAGTTGGTAAAAAAAAAAAACAAAGTCTAGGGAAAATTCTGTCTCTCGGTCATAAATATGTGTAATATGGTCTAAGAGGATGTAAAGTTGGTAGTGTAAACGTTGGTAGATGCTTTGGTAAGCACGTTTACCACGAACGGACCACGTTACAAGGGAAAATGAACATTTATGACTGAGCGCAACTGTTAATGTCGTCAAATACGTCTTTATGACGAAACTGGTCGAGCCACGTTGAGATAAGCCGTACGAGAGAAGGAGGAACACGTTCATAAATTTTTAACCAAGTTCTAATATCCTTATGGTTCAGAAAACTAAGTATTAACATCAGACTTGTGTTCACCTTTCTCTTATTTTTATTATCCTTATTTTTTCTTTTTAGTATTTTTTGCTTCTCCTTTCCTCCTTTTATTTCCATTGCAATTATGAACATATCTTAATGCAATTCTTTTTTTTTTTTTAATTATTTATAGCATTATGTATTTCGCTTTACTTAAGTACCTAAAAGATTATTTAACTAATTGCATTAAAATATGTACAGCGACACGTTAACGTACATTTGATATTATTTAAATAATGTACCTATAAATATATTTGTAAATATATATATATATAAAACATTAACATAATTATTGATTAGCACCTGTAAGTTTTTCACTGAAAGAAAATATTTTATGTTATTTAATTACGATTTACTTACCAATATCTGCATGGTCGTCAAAGAGATCAAAATCTTAGAACAGAAGTGAACGATTCGAATAAAGTGACGTCAACGATTTTTCTTGAATTTTTTTGAATAAAATAATAAACGATAAGATAAATAGATTGATCGAAATCGTTAACATCGACTTTGTCCGATAAATTTTGGGTTTTACTACTTGCTCGACTAACGATCGTTGTCGATCTGACGACGAATGGGTTAATAATTAGGATGATACTGTGATGACGATGAATGTTACACAAAAAAATACAAAAGACCACTCCTCTTGCGATAAATTCATTTCTACATTAATAGGATATATATACATATATATATATATANAACACAATAACGAGTAATAATAAAATTGACGATGATACGAGCGAATAAACAAACGTAACACGACTCCTACTGGGAAACGTAATGACGATCGTTTTAAATAAGTTATAAGTTTTTAATCAAAGGATTGTTCAAGACGTGTGATGATATAACCATACAACACAATAACGAGTAATAATAAAATTGACGATGATACGAGCGAATAAACAAACGTAACACGACTCCTACTGGGAAACGTAATGACGATCGTTTTCAACAAACGATCTTGTTTATATATGAAAATATACGTGTTTGCGTGTTCAAATGGATTAAGTGTCAATGATAAAGTACTCAGTCAAAAACATATGGATACGTGTTTCCTGATTAAAATATATATAATATATATATATATGTCAATGCTGGACGATGCATACACGTGTGCGAGGATTTAAAGTTAATACGAACGATAAAATCTCGCTGCAATATCGAGCATTTTAGTGCAATAATTAAAAGAAAAGCTTTCAAAGTTTTGAAAAATTAAGGTTCGTTAGAAAAAAAAGAAAAAATAAGATAAAAATTAATTCGATCCGAATTAAAAAGAAATCTCGATGTTACAGTTTGATGAGAAATACTTTCTACATATTTAATCAACGGTCGAATACATTAAAAATGTTAGTAACGAGATAGTAAAATACTGGCATAGAGTATATATAATATATAAATATGCTCGTGTGTGTGTTTATATATGTATGAAGAATATATACAAGAGTATATCTCGTTATGTAAATTCGTTTGAAGCGTGCAATTAGGCGTGCAAGAAAACAGCGTGCAGGGTTCGAAGTATAGTATATGGTAGAAGAAATAGAAGAAATAGAAGAAATAGAAGAAATAGAAGAAGCATAAAAGAAAGAATAAACGTATAGACGCATATTGAGTTAGACGATTGGAAAGAATTAAATACAGTACAAAAGAGATAGATAGGTAGATAGATAGATAGATAGGTAGATAGATAGATAGATAGATAGATAGATAGATAGATAGATAGATAGATAGATAGATAGATAGATAGATAGAACAAGAAAATAGGAAGATAATAAAAAAACGAATATTCGTAGCACGTCGAATACGATGACGCATTTCATTAAAACAGATCCGGGAATAATTTCAGCTCATTGACGTTAAAGTAGCACAAATTGGAATCTAATAGGATTCAAATGAGAAATTACATCAAGTCTTATCAACTTCGAGATATTTTACTTTCTCCCATATAAGGTTTCTCTTCGTATCTTTCACAAATCACTATATATATACGCGTCTACAATTGTTATTGAAATCTTTTCGATATAATGATAATACCGAAGATCAAGATGCAATATAATATCGAATCACAATTCAAAGTTTATTATTGAACGTCACCAAGACGACGTGCCGATCTTTAACAACGTGCAACTGCTTTTAATAACAAGCGTGCTTAGCAGAAATTGATCGCTTTTTTTTCTTTTTTTTTAACTTCAAGTTAGACCGATAGATCGTTACGACGATCTATTATATATTATGTATTTATGTATGTACGTTGATCGTCGATACGATTTCGGCGATGTATCAAGAAAGAAAGAAATAAAGAAAACTTAAAAAGGGATGCAATTTGTCGCGTGTGTTCGCTAGAACGAAGCCGAATTCAAAAGAAGAATTTTCAAAAAGTTTCCGTTTCAACGAGTTTTACGAAATATTTGAAAATCTAGAGAGAAAGAGAGAGAAAAATATCCAAAAGAAGAAAACAAATTCGATGGTTTCTTCGTTGCTACTGATTTTATTCCTTGTATTTTTTTTATTCAAAGGGAATAAAAAATGAAGAAAAAAGAAAGCAAAACATTGTCGAACTAAGATACACGAAAACTAACAGACGCGTAAACTCTCTCGTAAACTCTCAGGCGTGTTCTGTTAAAGCATTCGAAAGTAATCGATACAATATACATATACGTCACCTATACAACGTGAAATCTGTTTATTCGTGAAATGTCTATACTAATGTATTAAAATGTGAAATAAGATTGAATTGCATATTTTAATTAGATAATATAAGAATTCTCGAGTGGCATAAAATAAGAGTATGCAATTGAAATTTGTTTCGTAGATTAGAACTAATAGAACAGTACAAATAACATAAGGTTATTTCTTAAAGTACAAGAAGAGATAGCAATAGATAATTATGAGTAGTGTTGTTAAAAGAAAAAAGCACATTTTAAAGACGGATTAAATTCCAATCCTCTACTTTAACTACTCGTTTCTCGTGAAAATTCTTATTTTATCCAATTATTTCATAAAGTAACTAATTTAAATGTATAATAAAATTCTCTTTATATGCTTTTTCTAAAATGCTTAGTTATTTTATATAAGACCAATGTATTTCACGATTTAACTGAATTATACAATTTAACGGTGACACATATATACGTAATAGAAATTACGTAATAGAATACGGCTCAATTTTGGCGAATGCACACACGACTGCGAAATAATCTCGAGGATACGTGTCATCTCGTTGATAGTAGGCAAGTAAAAAGACATTTACTGACGTCAAAAGAATTCGCTCGACGAGAAAGACACGTGTCAGTGGCAAGGAAGATCACAGTAATGTATTAAATTGGAATAGAGTCTGAAAAGTTCGTACCGAATTTTCAAGAAAATTTTAAAGCAACGCTTTTATTTCCATATATATAATATATATGGAATATAATAATATAAGATAATATTATAACTTATTATATTTAAATATTGGCACAATTTTTCCGGACGATAGAATGAAAGAAAGGAAATAAAAGAAAAAGGAAATAAAAGAAATAGAAAGAAGGAATTAAATAAATAATTAAATAAATAAAGAATGAGAGAATACACCAACGGTGTGAGTTTACCGTTGACGTGAAGGAGTGCAGAATGAGCGACGGTGGCCGCGCCATTGGTCACGCGACAGGTGTACGTGCCATTGTGCGCGGGTGCGATCGTGCTAATGCTCAGGGCGCTGATAAAAGCGTCATTTTGCCGGATGGTTATCGCCTTTCTCGGGTCGTGGGCCGCGGCTGCTGCTGCTGCTGCTGCTAAGGCGGCGGCGGCAGTAGTACCTTTCTTGGAACCGGTGCCGTTCTTAAGAGACTTGTTAGCTAACGAACCGATGTTCTCTCCGTTGTTAGCACGGTTAGATGACGTCTCCTGCGACGTCGTTCTGATCGTCTCTATCGGGACGTTATCTTTCAGCCAAGTGAATGTTAATGGCAGGTCGCCAGTAGCGACTACGCACTGTATGCTAGTACGGTCGCCTACGTTTAAATCGCGAGCAAAACTGAAAGGCGTGATTTTAGGTGGCACTGAAAAGACAACAACAGAAAACAGAAAAGGTATGGCATTCCGTTCCGAAGCAGTAATAGTGGGTTTTGTTTTCTTTAAACGCTGCGAGAGAGACACAGATAGAGATAGATAGATAGATAGATAGATAGATAGATAGATAGATAGATAGATAGACAGACAGATAGATAGATAGATAGATAGATAGCAAGAGACAGATAGAGATAGAGATAGAGATAGAGATAGAGATAGAGAGAGAGAGAGAGAGAGAGAGAGAGAGAGACGACTAAATCATAGCACAGGTGTCCAGGGTTTTTCTTTTTTTTTTGTTCATCAATTTTATGCTCTAGCTCAAATTTTTTTACAATAAATAGTAAATTATGTATAATGCGTACACATATTTACATATCTCTCTCTATATATATATGCTTGCATTTTGTATGCTTCTAAAATATTTAATATACTCCAAATAGAGTACTTCGATGAATCTATTCAGTAATTCCAATCGATTTCAATCATGAAGCTTTACTTATAAGCATATACGTATATATATAATACATAGTAAAAGGCTTGACCATTGCTGCCGGAATTAAGTCTTTAGGAATCCTTTGTCTCGAGTTTAAGGAGAGGATATTAAACGATCGCAAACATTATAGGCTACAGGTATAAAGAGGTAACGATTGTTTGAAGATTAAATAAACATATAAAGAGAGAGAGAGAGAGAGAGAGAGAGAGAAATAAAGGGAAAGAAAAGTTGTAGTATAATGGGAGAGAAAGCGAGATTATATACAGTTATCCGGCAGCACTGGCGAAGATGAAAGCAACTTTGTCGAATACCACGTAGGTACCACTCTCCTCCTTCACTTCTTTCACCACCACCATCACCTCTACCTCATCCTCCTAACTCATACTATTTAAGCCTTTTAACCCCTGCTGAAAATTAAGGCTCGTCTTTACGACTACAGGATTACCAACTTCTAACTCTCTCCCTTTCTCTCTGTCTGCCTGTTTGTCTCTCTCTCTCTTTTTCTTTTTTTTTCTTCACTATCTTTTCCTCGTGTCTTTCACGTATCTTTTTTCTACGAAACGTATCAATATACGTTAGTCAGATTTTTAATGAGAAGAAAATGGCAACATGGTATTCTACGAGATATAAAAAAGGTACCTCAGTACGATTTACCTGTAAAGATAAATAGATAAATATAAGACGAGACGAGTAGACCATGGAATCCATCGACTTAATGACAATCTTTTCTGGGTACTACCAAAGACTGACACTTTCTTTCATGTAGACATATATATATATATATATACAGAAAGTGTAAAAGAAAAAAGGGGAGTAAAGAAAGTGAGACAGAGAGAGAGAGAAAGAGAGAAAGGGGGGATGTAATTAAATGCTTGATTAAAAAGGATTCCTTTAATAATAAAGAATGCTGTCTTTGATCTTAAAGCAACTTGTTACAAGAGTACACAAGCAGCTAAATATGGACAAGAGCAATTTTATGCTGGCCGCACTCGCTCAATTTTCCAGCTTCCTATCGGTTGTTTTCTCGTTTTATGAAAAGTATCTCACGATAAAACCTACTATACATCGATCTCTGATATCTTCTTTTTTTAGGCCAACCATCGAATTGAAAAGCTCTTTTCTTTTCTTTTCTTTTCTTTTCTTTTCCTGTTCTTTCTGTTTTTATTTCTTTTCTTTTCTTTCTATTCTATTCTTTTCTTTTCTTTTCCGTTTCTTTTCTTTCGAATTGCTCGGCACCATAGAGAAGAAGTCGATCTACCGATGCTTGGATTCATTCGTGATCTACTTTTCGAACTTCTTAACCTCCCCCTTTACTATCATGAAACTCGTCGATGCGTTGATTGGCCACGTAAAAGACAGCAAGTTTTATTTCGAATCGGGGACGCGAACAAGCCGTAACTTCGATTAAACGTTCTTTTATTATACCCTAGAAATGCCCTTCTCCCTTTCCTTTTCCTCCCATTCACGAGACTTTTATCCTTGAAAGCAACCGGAGATTGCATCTAAGATCGAGACCTTCTGTTTGTCTCTCATTCTTATGGTCTCATCGAATCTGTGATATAATCTTAATATAAAATGTTTATTATATAGCAAATTATAATTATTTTTTCATGTATATATATCACATAAATATTAGATTATTCGGAAGGTAATTTCTTTTTTCCAATAGTGAATAAAAAAAAAATTATTTTCATATTTGGAATGAAAAGTATTTTAAATGATCGCAAACACTGTAGTAAAATTTAATAAATTTAATCTTTTAGCTATTTCTTGCTTTGTTATAATTATAATTACCATTCACCAATGTATGAAATATTGGAAAGCAATTTTGATACTAGAATTTACTTAAAATATCATCTCCGTAACCGGCACATAATTTTGTTCTCGCTTTTACACTGCGTTTATTTGACCCTAACAAAAAGTACAATATAACGAAAATGCTGATTTTGATTTTTTTCATTTCTAACGCTATGCCAAAAAAAAGAAAACTATTTAGCAGGTCGAAACTCAACGAGACTCAAATTCACGTATGTGATTAGTATGTAAAATGATTTTAAGGTTAGAGTAAGATTAAGTATTGGCGAGTAACATAATTTTTAAGCGATAAACAAAACTACTTTTCGAACAATCTTATATGCATGTAAGAAATCAAAATGATAGCAAAGTTAACACATATCATCGTTTCGATCATCTGTTAATTATATACACAGAAATCTGTACACGCACTCGAATACATTAAGCTGTCGTTAATTGTCATCTAAATCTTCATAAATTTATAATCAAAAAATGTCTTGTAAATTGTAAAAAATAAAAGTTGATTTAAATTTTTAACGAAGCCTCATGTATGTCGTGTGTTTAGAATGATGTCGTGTGTTTTCTTATGTTTTTTTTTCCTTTTTTTTG